TCCAGTTACCAGCTCTCAGTCTCCCCCTTGCCCGCATTCGCACCAACAAATGACGGGCCATATCAGAGAACTGACTCAAGCAACCACTCTCATTCCTATCACCCTTTCTCCAGAAGAGCAACACGTTCTCACAAAAGATTGTTAGCACTGGTGCAAGCACGACTGAGGGGAAGTTAGCCCAAGGGCAGGAGGAAGGACCAAGACCACCTTCTCGGCAGTATCTCATACTTAGGCAATGCAAAGCAACAGTGAAAATAATCTGAGGGTGAACTACCACAGCAGTTCAAACCAGTTTAAACCACCACTTTTCCAGCGTGCAACCCAAGCTTCTCCACCACCTTATGACCTGAACCATGCTGTCCACCAGCTGAGACCAGGATCACTTGTGGCACAGCCAACTTGGAGAAACTTGAATTGCCACGGAACCACAGTCCAAGCAAGAGTGCCGAGGTCCCTTAAACAAACTTTAATAATGAAGGATCTGTGTCAGGGAAGCATACGCTCAAGCTCAAGTTCAGATAAATCACACGAAGTACCAATAACTCTTTCGTTTCGGAGATCTGAGTCTGCATTTAGGTGAAGAGGCAAGTAGCAGAGTTGTTTTGGTTTTACAGCTTGCCGTATTTTAAGTGCAGGGCAAGTTTCAGCAGTTGAACTCTTAACAACTTAAAAATAAGGTGTCCCAATAGGCACAGGAAAGGAACCAGCCAGCACTTCAAGCATGCCTGAACCATCATCTCCACAAACAGCCAGCTCTGACCACAAATGGTGTAAGCACACACACACATGCAAACACTTTCTGTTCAGCTGACCACCAAGCTGGTGACCAGCTCACATGCAGTAACCTCCAGGCAGATCAATCCTTCGCCGAACAGATGCACGCGCTATTTTCACAGCTACAGGCTCAGCATCCCCTCGCTAACCCCACATGCATGCAGTGCAGAATATGTTCACAGAGAGGGCTTAGGAAAGCGCCACATGCTGCATATCTAGCTTTTCAGCACCTGAAGCCAGCTCCAGGAGGAGACGAAGAGGGCCTGCAGGCAGCCACTGCTGAATCACACTTGGCAACTGATAGAGCCACAGCTCCCAGCGGCCCTGCCCTCTCCGCTGTCAGAGACTGCTATCCACAGAAGCAGGCACACAACAGCTTTTTAGGGCGTAGTGTGCGATACAGTTGGAGCAACACAACAGCCCGCTGGCCTTGCAAGTGGCGGTGTCGTTCCCCAGCTCCTTGCTTCAAGGCTCCATCCCTGGCGCTGGCTCCGGCACCCACCTCGCAGTACAACAAACTACTGCACCATGCATGCCCAGTGATCCAGTTAATAAACCGAGCTGGCTCTCCGCGCAGTCGGACAAGTGCCAAAGTTGGTGCATGAAAGCGAACAGAACAACTTCTTTCAGCACCTGAGAGCCAGCAGGATATTGTGCAAGTGTACGCTCTGTGACTGCATTCAGCACGGCTCAGCCAAACAGTCCAGATCACACCACTAATTTCAATTCAAAGCTCAGGTAGCCAAAGCCAGGAGGGCAAAAACCTCTCAGCTCACCCAGCACAAGCCAGACTTCATGTGGAGGAACCATTCGCTGTGCTCAGAATGGAGATGCTCCTGTTGCATAGGAAGAAAACCCTGTATATTCACATGGTCAAGGCCCAGAGGTTATAACTGACAAATGCACTGTCCCAGGGCTCACAAAAGCCCTCTCAAGCAAAAGTGAAATGCTGATGGCATGACCTCAAGATTTTGTTGCCTTCTTTTTAGTTTATGAGTTTGTTCTAGTAAACCGTAAGTTTAATATATTCAGATATGTAAATACATTTTAGAAAACTACCATAATTTTCTCACCTGCCAAAGGCAGCAGCAGATTTACTTGAATAAAACAAACATTCATTAACAAAAAAAGTCATCACACCCAAATTCCAGTATTTAAGTTTTTATACCATACCAACTATTGTGCCTGTGAGCTGAAATGCAAACAAGGGTTGGAAAAAAATCAGGCTTTTGGCTAAAAGCTAATGAAAAACTGAATCAGTCAGATGATACCAAAAACACAGAAGAAAGTCACCTGATACATGCCAGCATGTGGATTTAAAGCACATTTTAGTATACTTTGGACAAGAACTGTTAATGCTATGCACCCACAAAACTAATTACTATGTACTTCTGGGTTTTTTTGTTTTAAATCTTTCTCAAATAACCACACAAAACCTTAACAGTCAGCTATGCACACCGAAGAGGAAAAGCAGGAAGAAGAGCACTACGCGAACCGAGCACCAGCCTTCCACAACTAGTGGAACCCTCAGG